TCATCTAATCTACCATAGTAGTCAACTTCTAACTCACTACTAGTGGATCCCTTAACACAAACACCGTTGTTGTATATCTTTCTTCCTTGCCCGTATTCTTCAGTATGGAAAACATATCCATTGATGAAATACCCGTTGTAGCACTTACATTTTCTTTCAGGCCCTAGGCTTAGTGAAGACAATGACTTAGGTGCACTCCTTCCCATTTGATAAACCTTGTATGTAATGTACATTAATAAACAGTAAATAAACGAGAATCTCATAATGACGTGCATACATACAGTAATTTTGCAAGTTAGAATGAGTTTGTGATAGTGCTTACATGTGTTCTGAACCATGTGGCAAACTGCTCATCTTGTAATTGAAAGATCTGGGATTCGGTCAGCTGTGAGTTATTTGAGAGCAAATATTGTCGATGTTGCCTACAAGTGATAATGAGTGTGTGGTATTACAATATATAATTAATAGTATATTACTAACAAAGTTTAATTAGTATAAACTTACTGAATAAAAGGTCTCAACTCATCATAGTTAAATAGAACATAGTTGTGTGCTTGTTTGAACTCTATTTTCGACAAATATCTTCCTCTTATGGCATTTTTAGGTATGGGTCGTCCAGTATTGGAGAATATTGACAAGTTCTCACTGGAAGGCACTTCACCGCCATCATCATGCTGGAGAACGCAATTGATTCACGTTATTAAATGAGGTTCGAAATGGTACGAGATAAATATTGAGATCTCCTCAACAATATAGGCCTCACATATTGAAGCCTCAATATGCGTCTTGTTCTTAACCTTTTTCTTGAGATTAAACAAGTACCTGCATTGAAATATTAATCAAGTATTTTCAATTAAGAAAAACATATAAAATACTTTTATATATGAATTACATTGCAACTATAATATCTAACCATTCGAATGGGTACATCCATCTATATTAGACCGGTCCTCCAGCTTTTTCCTCGAATGGTAGATGTATAGAGAGATGCTCCATTGAGTTAAAAAATGATGGAAGGAATATCATCTCAAGTTTGCATAGTGTTTCGATGATATTCGTTTGAAGCCTCTTAATGTGATCAACATTCAACTTGCTAGAGCATATATCTCTGAAGAAATGACTGGTCTCCGTGAGTGCATCCCATATTCCCTTTGGCAATAAATCACGAAAAGCTAATGGGATGAGTGTTTGCATAAACATGTGGCAGTCATGACTCTTCATTCCATACAATCTGCAGTCCTCAATATTAACCAGTCGTGAAATGTTCGATGCATGTCCATCCAAAAAACGCAGACTCTTAAGCCATTTGTAGACTAGCAGTTGTGTGCTTTTCTCTAACACGAAGCTTGCTCTTGGTTTTGCAACCCGTGACTCATCATAAACCAACTCCATATTTTCACGGTTATAGTATAAAGCTATATCCAATCTAGCCTTAATGTTGTCCTTTGTCTTCCCCTTCACATCCATAATGGTGTTGAAAATGTTCTCAAACATGTTTTTTTCGATATGCATAACGTCAAGGTTATAGCGGAGCAGATTGGTCTTCCAATAAGGAAGCTCCCAAAAGATACTTCGCTTTACCCAATTATGAGTTAAACCAAAACCAGAAAACTTTTACTTACCTAATTGAAGGCCAAACTCAATGTCACCGTACTCTGAGACAACATCATGCAATTCTTCACCAGAAAGACGCAAGGATGCATCTTTTTTAACTCTGCCAATAAAGAAATCTTTTCTGTCTTTCTATACCTATGATTAAGTGGCAAGAAGCGACAGTGACAATCAAAAAAAGAAGCTTTACCTCTATTTGCTAGCGTGAATGCCTTGTTGTTTTCCATGCAGTATGGACATGAGAGTTTCCTATGCGTGCTCCAACCAGAAAGCATTATATAAGCTAGAAAATCATTGATAGTCAACATCAAAGCTGCCCTCATAAGGAAATTTTTCTTCCTCGATATATCATAAGTCAGGGCTCCAAAGGACCACAACTGCGCCAACTTATCAATCAACGGTCGAAGACAAACATCTATATTCCATCCCGGACTGCTTGGACCGGGTATGACAGTAGATAAAAACATGAACTCCGGCCTCATACACATTCCCAGTGGCAAGTTATAAACTATGAGTATGACTGGCCAACAAGAATAAGGAGCAGCAAATGACCTAAATGGGTTGAATCTGTCTATACATAACCCAAGACGCACATTCCTTGATTCAGCTGAAAAGTGAGGATGAACACTGTTAAAGCGTTTCCACGCTTCACTGTTAGAAGGATGAACCATCACTCCATCAACCGCATGGTGTGCTTGGGGCCATGTCATGTGCTCAGCAATCCTTGGTGACATGAATAATCTCTGCAGTCTAGGTATGATCGGGAAGTATCTAAGTTTTTTATATGCCACTAGAGTCTTTCCCTTACCAATTCTAGGTTTGTAACGGAAATGCCTGCATGTCATGCACTCGGTCATCTCAGCATTTTCAAGGTAGTATAACATGCAGAAGTTAGGGCACATGTTAATTTTCTAGTATCCTAAACCAAGGGATTTCATCATGAACTTTGCAGCATAGAAGTTCTCTTTCAGCCTGTTCTCTTCAGGTAAAATGCTTCTTGCCCATTGAATAATCTTGTCATACCCGGCCTTACTCAACCCGTGCTCTGACTTAATGGTGAACACCTGTGCTACAACCGATAATTTACTGTGGTTCGTGCAACCATCCCATAATGGTTTGTTAGAATCTCTCAACAAATCAAAAAACCTAGCTGCATTTATATTAGGTTCTTCTTCTACGATTGGACATTGACTGACATTACCTTGATTCATTCTCATTGCATCCATAACCATGTTTCTGTAAGGATTAGTGTTGTCATTCTCGTTGCTAGCATTAGAAGTAGACCCAACCACCATTTCTTTCATTCTCCTCTCACTAACATATACTTCTCCATGTGCATACCAACACTGGTAATTCTCCATAAACCCTTTGTGTAGAAGATGCATCATTACAACATCTAGATGCAAATACGTTTTATTTTGACACTTCCTGCAGGACACCTAATACTGCCTCCAGTAAAATTTCTAGGAATAGATGTTGCAAAATTAATAAAACCTTGAACCCCGTTACAATAATCCATCCTTCACAATCCTTAGGGTGAATATCGATACATCCATGATTTATATCGAACTTCTATAAAATTATGATGACATAATGTATTAATTAACTAAGTTAGGTAAATAAACTTGCAAAAATATTACTTTACCTTGAGATTATCCAACAAACCAATCACAACTTCTCATAAATATTAAATATTCATTATCATTTATCAACGTCCATACAAATTAAAATATATAAATTTACAGAAATTACCACTCCGCAATACCATTGACAAAACTTTAAACGGACCCAATAAGTAAGCTATTAATTATTTCAAAACAGCATATGTACTTCGGTAGTTCCATAAAGTTTTAACAATTTACAAAAAAATACAATCTTATAAAATCTAAAACAAACCATAACAGGTATAGAATTATACATTCATATACTACAAATTTGTTTGAGAACTAACAATAAAACATGTACATTTACTAACAAAATACATATACTAAAAAAATAATAAAATTGACATTTAATTAAATGTTAAGATTTAAAAAGAAAGAATTACTCACAAAAATTGATAAAATCCATCGGTAAATCAGAACATGGATACTGTGACCACAAAACTTCAAGAAATATAACTTGTTGTGCTGATATGAGGGAGATTTTTGTTTGGGGGGGATGGGGGGCTGGTTGTTTGCAGATGGGGAGAGTTGGGATTAGGAAGAAGAAGGAAAAATAAGGGAGGAGAGGGTCGGCAGCATGTACATATATTAACTTTTCCCGACGGTTTCACAGATGGAAAATCCGTTGGTGAAACCGTCGATGATTCTGACGAAACAATCGAAACATCACCGTACGGATCTGCCATTTCAAATCCGTCGGCAATATAAACGGCGATCACTATACAGGTTGTCTTTTTAAATCCGTCGGTAATTCCATCTGAAAAAATAACCCGTCAAAACCTCCATGTCAGCGACCCTTTTTTTTTTACGACGAAAACATTTTTGTTTGTAATTCAGTCGGTAACTACCAACGAAAATTTTCTGTCGGTAGTTACCAACTGAATTAGGGACGGAATATAACTGTCGGTAATTTCAACCTCAAATTACCGACAAAAATATTCCGTTGGTAAATTTGTTGCTATTTAGCGAATTTCTAGTAGTGTTGCTTTACTGGGATGGACCTGTTTTAACCAATAGATAAACAAATGGTTTAAAAAAAACACAACAATGCTTTAATAATATTCAAATAGATAAATAATACAATTTATCTTCGATAGTGTATACTAGAAATAATATTGTTCTCTTTATACACAATTACTATTCTTATCGAAACTTTGAAAATCAATTAGAGTTTATAATAACCAAAATATTTGGTTGCAACTCCAAACCTTTTTAACCATAAAAAAACTAGAATTCTTTATTCATTCTACACCAAAAATCTTCATCTAAAAATATTATTATTTTATTCACCACATGCCGCGTATCATTTTTACCTTTTATAGCAATGAAAATATTGAGTGAAAACTTTGCAATTGCTATGCCACTAAAGTTCTTCTATCATATCATTATATTTCACCATAATATATTCCCATAAATTTGTATAATACATTTTTAATATATTTTTTATATTAAAAAAATTGATTTCAAAAAAGTTTAAATAATAAAAAGAAAACAGTTTAAGAAATCCAAAAAACTGGCCCTCTAACACGTTTCCCTTTCCCTTGGAGACATATTTGCATTTCTTTTTTAACACTCGTTATTTGAAAGCAATCTTTGAATGAGTGCATGGAAACGGCATAGTTTGCTGTGGAAGAATGGAACAGAAAGGTAGTAAAGCAATTAAAGGAGAGTAGCCAGGCCGCCGAAGACATAAAATACGCGTAAATATATAAAGCATATATCTTGGCTAATAATTGACACATGTAAAGGGAAACACGCACCGAAAAGCAAGTGTTAATAGTTACTTTTGGTACGTTAATGGGTGGCGAAGGTCGAAGCGAATCATTCTCTTGATGTGTCGCCCAGAAACCATGTGAGCTGCTCCGCTCCTGAGAGAGTTTCCCATGCTTGTTTGTCACGATAATGATGGTGGCTAGCGGTGTTCATTCAAATGGTCAACCTTTGTATAGAGAAAAATATGGTGTTTCATGATTTTCATGCCCTCAGATTCGATTCGTTTCTTGATCAATTATCACACCCTCCAACTCAACTCATTCTCTTCCCATTTCTCTCAGACGTAACCACACCACCCCTTCGCCCCCAACCCGAACACAAATAAAATCTCAGACGTACTCTCCCCAGCTGATCCATCGTTCCCTCTTCCTTTTCTATTTCCTTCGTTTTATAAGAGACTGCTCTTGCTTACAACCTAATAATGGGTTGTCTTGATGATGGGTGCACTACTGGCCTTGTTCTGGGGTTAGGCTTCGCACCTTTAACAGACCTAGAGAGGAGTACGTCAAAGCCAGGTGATTACAGCAATAGACTTATAAGGCCTCAGATTAAGCCATCCCTCAAGTTTGACCACAACCCATCAACGAGTACAAGTTTTGAGCTGTCACTTAGTTTGGTTCTTTCTTCTGAAACTTATAGCCATGCAGGTTCTCGCCAAAAGACCATGGATGGAGAGAAAGGTTGTGAGGAGTCTATTGGTGCTCATGATCTGTTGTATCGTCAAGCTTCTCCTGATCAGAGCGCTGTTTCTTCTTTCTCTAGCGGTAGGGTTAAGAGGGAAAGCGACCTTGGCTGTGAAGATATAGAGGTAGAGAGGATTTCTTCAAGAGTGAGTGACGAGGATGAAGATGGAACCAATGCCAGAAAGAAACTTAGGCTCACCAAAGAGCAATCTGCCCTTTTGGAGGAAAGCTTCAAACAACACAGCAACCTCTATCCTGTGAATAATTAATCTCTTAATCTCTATTTTATTTTGATACATGGTTTTGTATACATCTATGTGTCTATTCTAGTACTGATTAAGACTTGATCCTTCTTTAATAAACAAACAGAAGCAGAAGGAAGCTTTAGCAAGGCAGCTGAATCTACGGCCGAGACAAGTAGAAGTATGGTTTCAAAACAGAAGAGCCAGGTAATTAAGAAGATAATCTTTAAAATTAACAGTTATTATCTCCATGAAACAAGTGCCATGATATCCATAACACACCCAAAAGCCCCACAAAAAATGTTTCTTATCCCTGAAGAAAGAACCCTCTGAAGCATTTTCAGCACCAAGGTACCTGTGCTTAAATCAGAGAAGTACAACTACCTGCTTTAATCAATAAAGCTATCTCAAACTATCATAATTAAGCTGGAGGGTATCTTTTTTGTTTTTCTTTATCAGAAAAGAATCTGAATTAATGGTGGTCGGTAATACTCTGCAGGACAAAACTCAAGCAAACTGAAGTGGACTGTGAGTTCTTGAAGAAGTGCTGTGAAGCACTAAAAGATGAGAATGGGAGGTTACAAAAGGAGCTACAAGAACTTAAAGCACTGAAACTGGCACAGCCCTTTTACATGCACATGCCAGCAGCTACTCTAACCATGTGCCCATCCTGTGAAAGAATCGGTGGTGTTGGTGATGGTGCTTCAAAGAGCTCCTTCTCAATGGTTCCAAAGCCTGACTTCTATAATACCTTCACCAATCCGTCAGCTGCATGTTAATGAAGTTGCCACGACATATATAAGAGAGGAATAAACATAGCTTATTAATTACACCAACCCCACAATCCATCTGTTTTTTGGTTAAGGGCTTGTACTGAAAGATTAGTGTAAGTAATTATTTTTTAGAAAATATTAATTACGGATAAATTTCCCTTCTCCTTTGTTTTTGTTTATTCATTCCAAAAATATGAAATTTGTGATACTAGGTCGATTAAAGCCAAAGACTTATAGTTTAATATCTTTCAATTACTTTCTTTTTTATGATGAGGAATTTCATATCCATATCTTTTTTGGGGTGTTGTCTTAGATATCGATCACAGAGATAGCATAACAGTTTCTAATTCCATTGATCTAGTTATTCACCAACAAAATGGAGACAAGTAGAATTGTTATAAACCTTGGGAGCATAATTAACAAAACCTAGAAGGGATCATAAGTGAATCCCTTATTTTGAGAGGCAAAACAATGGAGAGAAGTAGAATTGTTATTTTGTTTTCTTTTATCATCAAGTTTTTTCTTTTCTAATTCTATCATGGATTTAAATTTAGTAGTTTATTTTGATTTATTTTTTATATACTTATCATGATTTTAAAAAACATCACAGCATTGTATTAATACCCAATTTCACAAAAAATAATTTGATTTTAATATTTGCAGATATTGAAAACTAGATAACCAAAATCAGCATATTTTTTGTCTTAAAAATACTAAGTGTCAACTTTGATTTTTTTTTTGTTCATTGGATTTTTTTTTCAATTTATTTTTTTTATTGGGATTTTGGATTAATAATTTATTTTGATATATTTTTATGTAGTTATTTTGATTTTAAAGAAAAGTCTTATTGTTATATTGATGCTTAATTTCATGGAAACAAATCTAATTTTATTCTTTAAGAAAAATAAAAAATGAGGGGACAAAAATTAATAAAGAGAAGGAATGGGAGGCCTTTTCTAAATAAATAAGATTGTTTGAGCCAAAAAAAAAATCCCTAAATATGAAGCACAACACAACTAGCGGCAATATCATGGTAGTTTGCTGGGCTCTTTTTGTGGAGAGGACAGATGGATAATGATCAATCAGTAGATGATTATTACTGTTTGCGTGAGAGAGAGAGCAGATGTGGGCAGTTAGCTCACGTGTACCTGTCTCCAATGTCATATATTCAGTTGTGTTAGAAAGCGAGAAAAGGTTGTCGGTGGAGAGTGGAGCATTATTCATTGAAATGATGAGAAGGTTATCTTCGATATGAGTCCATTGCCTTCGATAATAATGCGCGAATCTATAGAGCGATGCCTGGAATCCTGATGTGCGCCAATAAATGATGAGGTCACTTTCCAGTTAAGGTAGGGGGCACTGAGCTTTTTTTTAACTTTTTCATTTTGAAAAAACTTATTTTCTAAACTAGCGAATTTGAAAAAATAATTCTTCCTCCCTCTGTCACATAAATATGAGTTCCTTTTGTATCTAGCACAAGCACAACCAATATGCCATGCCCATAAGAAATAATTTATCTCTCAAGTTATTTACCTGAGACAATCGGTGATTTCTTTCATTGCCATTATAGTCATCGCCGCCATCCATAAGTGTCCACTGTAACCTATCATATATATGCAATATCATAATAATTGTTTATCATTTAAAAATTATATATATATATATATATATATATATATTTTATTGTCATTATAGTCATTGCCGCCATCCATAAGTGCCCAATGTAACCTATCACGTATATGCAATATCATAGTGATTGTTTATCATTTAAAAATTATATATATATTTCTTTTATTGCCATTGTAGTCATCGCCGTCATCCATAAGTGTCCAATGTAACCTATCACATATATGCGATTTCATAGTGATTGTTTATCATTTAAAAATTATATATATAGATGTGTGGTATATATCTAGCAAGATATGGAGAAACAAAAAAAATTTTATCTCTTATCAATAAAAAATTAGAATAGAAATCACCACCTAGTATTCTGATCGTTAGAAACCCTATTATCATTAAATAATTAGAATAAGAGTCGTCACATAGTATTCTGGTCACTAAAAACCCTAACTGGTCTTAGAGATGGGGGTATGGAGACTGGTTGCGTAAAGAAAAGGTATTAATACCTCAACTACACCCTACCCAAGATAAGTTACATTGTTTTATTATCTGATAAAACTTGAGGTTTTGTTATGATTTCTAATTATTGGTCCGTCTATAGTTCAAAAAAAGCTATAATCAATAAGGAGGTTCTTATTTTAATGGCGTAGAACTTAACTATTGTAGAGTCTGGAAAAAAATTTAATATTTGAAATATGTATTATGTATAATTTCGTAATAACTGATACTAAAATAAAACAACATAAAAATTTTGTTGTTTTTGAAATTTTGGCCAATATTCTACTGACTTTAATAAACTGGTTATTAAAGTCAAAATGCATGCTAAAACATTATTTTTTAGTGTATGATAAAACACAATGTGATTTTTTAGCTTTGAGACACTTGGTCATATGCACACAAAAAAAATTTCAAGTTGTTTTGTAATTTTGGAAGTTTTGGTTAAAACTAGATATTTTAATACCGGATTTGTATTTTTATGAAATAAAAATACTACTTGATATTAATCAAAATGACATAAAAACTACGCGAGAAAATTGTAACATTCTAAAATAAAATTTTTTAATTTTTTTTAATGGGTGGATCAGGCCCAAATGCATGGCTAGATCAGACCTGGCCCAAAACCAAATGGGCTAGTTATTGTATTTAAGCACAGTAATCAGTCCTCTATCATTTGCTACATAACATGAATTATTCACGTTCTGCATGTAAATGCAGACGGCGGCTGAGCAAAGGAGAAAGAAATGGGACAACCAGAGGTTACCTGGGGTGGCGCAGCCTAAGTGTGGCTGTTAGGGGTGGCAATGGTGCTGTTGTCACTGTAGAGGGACTGCAGTGGCCGGTGGTGCTATTGTCACTGTGGAGGGACTGCGATGGCTGGTGATGCTTCTCCTTCTTATTCCTCTCCCTCCTTTATTTTTTTTCTCTTCTTTTTTTGTCTTTCCTTTCTTTTTCTCCTCCTATTTTATAATATGTCTTCTCTTTTATCTTCTATTTTGTTCTGCTACCTCTCTCTTGTTGTCTCCTCCTCTCTTTTCTGCTTGTGATCCCCTGTTTTTATAGGCAAAAATAGGGGAGAAAGTGGATGAGGTGGCCATTGTATTGCTGCCCCTCCAACACGTGAAAAGTTATGGGCAAGTGGGTGTCCTTGGTCGGCATCTTTTTTATACTTTTTAAAGGAAGAAAGTCGGTGAAAACAGGGGAAAAAATATTCTTTTTCCTCCCCTACTTCAGGAGTCCAATGGAAGAAAAGGACATACAATGCCTTCAAAACGACACCATTTCGGCCTTTTTCTTTTTTTATGTAAACAATGCATGAAATGCGTCATTTTGGACATAAAAAGTTGTTTTATTTAAAAGAAAACAGCCTCAAAAACATGTTAGAGTTCACATTGGTCCTCAATTGTTATTCAATCAAGTCCTCAATTTTAATTTTGATTTTAAAAATTAATTCAATTGCATCTCTACCAAAAATCAAACAGCGGCTCTGAAGTTGATAGGCTTTTTCACTTTGGTCATTGGTCTTGATATTATGCAATTTGACCCTCAATTGAGCAGTAAACTTCTAATTTTTTTAATTTGGCCCTGATTCGGTTTTAATTACAGCCCATCTATTTACGTGTCTTTTTCATTTTGATCTTTGGTTACGGATTTCTTCAATTAAGTCCCTAATTGGCCATCAAACTTTAATATTTATGCAATTAAGCCCATGATTTGACCAAATTAATTCTTAAAAATTATAATTTGACCCTAAAACTTCAATTTCTTCCAATTAAAGCCCAAATTGATTCCAAAATCAATTTTTCTTGCAATTAAACTCTCTATATATTCAATTAAACCTTCAATAAAATTTAATTGAGTCCATAAACATTTGGTTTTGAACTTTTCTTCCTCAAATTGAATTTTCTTTGTTAACAGGGCTCTTATCAGTCAATTAAATACTGTCAAATTTTAATCTTTGTAATTTTGAACTTGCTCAACCAATTTTTAACCATTTTTAAGGCACTTTGACATTTTTTTTCACTATTATATTTTTTTATTTTTTTTATTTTTTAAAGTAAGAAAAAATGTGAATTGAGGAATCACCTAAAAATAGGTTATGACAGTTGCCCCCTCTTTACAATGCTTACAGAGCAAAGATTTTACATAGTAAGTATTGTAAAGATAAACAAAACTGGTCTTCTTGAAATGTCATTGACCTGAAACTTCAACCGAACATAAAGTCTTATGTATGGTTAAGCTAAAGTGGGATCCTTTTCCACAATCTCCTTTAACCAAAACCAGATCTCTATGTGTGGCTAGGATAGATTAAGATTCCTTTCCCTAATTTTCTCTAACTAGAATCAAAATTCTATGTGTGGTTAAGATAGACTAAGATTCCTTTCACCAATCTTCTTTAACCAGAACTAAAAATCCTGTGTGGTTGGGTTAAATTGAGATTCCTTTCGCCAATTGATTAATACTTAAAAGTGCATTTTTATCAAGATTTTATATTAATTAGTACTTAAAAGTGCATTTTTATCAAGGTTTTATATCATCATTTTGCACTTGAAGCATCAATAACTCCTTAACTAAAGCATGTTTTATAATAACATATCTAATAATATAAGATACCTTTAATTTGTGGTAAATGTTCATTTTAAATACAGGTCTATCATATAAATAAAAGGATTGATTGATGAATTTAATAACTGAAATTGAAAAGACAAAGAGATGGCCAAACTTAGAAAAGAAATATTGGTGCAGTCCAAATCAGAACACTGTTTGGTAATTGGATTATATTTGAAGTTGTAGATCTCGGATTTAGGTCTACTTTATATGGATGGAAAGGTAATACATAGACCTACAATGTTCATATAGAGCCCAAGATGTAAAAAAGTCATTTTCAAGTCCAAATTGCAGCAACAACAAAGAAGTCTGAATCTATCCTCCAGCCTGAGTACTGTTCAGTGTTTGACCCATATCTGGAGTTTTAGAAGTCTAAACGACCTTAATGTTTTACTGAGAAATATGAGACAATTTACTACAACTTTCATGTTTTCAAG